TAATTCTTAACCTTAACTATCAACTGTATATCATAATTATAGTTCCTCACACTGGTTTATAATTCTTATTTGATCCTAGTTATTAGGTGAACACTCTCAAGGTGACTTTATTGTCGCTCAAAGATCATCCATAAACTGTAGTCTCACCGTTGATACTCATAAATCATTTTTATTATCAAATATTGCAGAGTAAATTGTGTTTACATAGTAAAATGTTATATTCAATTTGATTATATTCAATAGTCCAATGAAATACTATTGAATATTTAATACATATACTGACTTAATTACTTACGGCCGTTACTCCCAATGGAGCATAGGCCGCCGATCAGCATTCTCCAACCCACTCTGTCCTAATCCTTCCTTTCTAGTTCTATCCAACTTTTGTTCATTCTTCTCATGTCTATCTCCATTTCTCGGAGCAATGTGTTCTTGGGTCTTCCCCTTTTCCCTTGGCCTACATGATTCCATGTGAGATCTTTCCTTGTGACATAGTTGGGTGATTTTTTCAATGTGTGTCCTATCCACTTCCAGCACTTCTTACTGATTTCTTTCTCCACTGAAATGTGGTTTTTTCTCTCCACAGTAGGTTTTTGCTGATAGTGTCTAGCCAACGGATCCAAAGTATTTTGCGTAAACAACTGTATCTTCTGAATGGTGGCCTTTGTTGTTCTCCAGGTTTCCGCCCCATACAGTAGAACTGTCTTGACATTCGTATTGAAAATTCTGATCTTGGTGTTAGTTGACAATTATTTTGAGTTCCAGATGTTCTTCATTTGTAAACATGCTGCTCTTGCTTTGCCAATCTGAGTCTTCACATCTGCATTTAATAGATATATTCATGTTAAATATTAATGCCTGTTACAATACTTAGTAGTGGGATTCTCTATTGTTTCAATAACAATAAAAAACTCATCGAGCACTATTAATCATGATAGTTGAGAAATTCACTGGGTTGAAATTATTTCGACTCATGATTTCAATGAAATTCAACTATCTTTACAATCCTATTACTTACTTACTTACTTACGCCTGTTACCCCTCGTCGAGGAGCATAGGCCTCTCACCAGCATTCTCCATCCAACTCTGTCCTGAGCCTTCCTTTCCAGTTCTTTCCAGTTGCTATTCATCCTTTTCATATCGGCTTCTATTTCCCGGCGTAGTGTGTTCTTTGGCCTTCCTCTTTTCCGCTTCCCTTCCGGATTCCAAGTTAGGGATTGAGTCGTGATCCTATACCAATAATTAATTTTTTTACTTGACTATTGAAACAACATACATTTAATATTAATCCTAACCATTTAAAATATTGTAAGTCTTGAATTAAAATGTTTAAATTCAATTTTAATAAAAATTTTAAAAAATAATGTTCGTGTCATGAAGTGATAACCGTCGAAGAATTATTGAAGGAACTAAAAAAACTCTGGACAACTGATCCATTGTAGTTAAAGAATTTTCAAATGCTATATATAACTGAACTTTAGACGTTTAAGTCTCTCTCAACCAAGAATTCTGATTCGCATAATTGAAATCATGAGTCAATTGAAGCTAGAACACCATGGAAAACCTGGAAACATTGAACGGCCATTCCGTCCTATTGTGGGACTCCTCAGTGGCAGTGCACATCCACGATCCCGCCTCGCGGGATTCGAACCCAGGACTTATCAGTCTCACAAACAAGTGCTTAACCTCTGGAACCACTGAGCTGGCATTCAACTGTGTTTATGTCTAACTTCAACGAATCCACTAAATTGAGCAACCGTCCACTATTGTCTTCAATCAGTTACTATCTCACAACAGACAATATAGTTAAATATGTTGACTTCACAAATGTTAAAAAATAATGGTTATGGAGTTAGGTTTTATCTTTAATATTTATCGTTAGTGTTCAATAATATTATTAACTGGTTGACTCTATTTTCTTTTGTCTGTTGAAAGATGAATGTAAAAGTCTATAGTTTGTAGATGGATTGTGGTATTGCTGAGTTTGGTTTTTTTTATCTCAATGGTTTCTTTCTGAAGCATTTATTGTCTTTCGGGACAAAATGTTCAGCATATAATTTAAGGGAATGTGACTTATAAGAATTTCTTCACAAGTTACTAATAGCTTGCTTCTGTCGATATAAGAATGGGGAACCTAATGATTTATTCGTTTAGCTCAGTGAATGCAATGCCACTGGAATATTTCAGTTTGACAGCAAAAACCATCGTGAAAACACTTTAATTTAAAACCACCAATTCTCTTACATTTCAATGTTATCAGTAATGTCAGTCTTAATCGTGAAATGATTAAACTCTAAACCAGTTAAATTTACGCAAATGATCTATTTCTTCAACCAATAAAAATAACTGAAGCTGGAGCTATATACCCCTGGATCTCAGCTAGGTAGTTTATTCAAATATATCAAAATCTTTTGTATGTGAATGTGTTCACGATATACATCGACATTGTTACAGACGTTTAAATCAGTAGGTAAGTTGTCATTTAGTATTTCTGACTTGATAATGACTCATTCAAGTTTATTTTTGTTCACGATGAACGACAACTTTGGATAAATAATCAATAATAGATCCTCTGACTTAGTGTACATTTCACTTTTAGTCATAAAAAACCCGGAATATTTCATAGTCTATACAACCTCACTACAATAAAAAGTGACCGATGTTCACTAATAACTAAGATCAAGAGACATTTCTTGGAATTCTAATAAAAAGCAGAGACCTCCTGAGTTCAACTATATCGGGTAGGAGACAACATTACAAATGGCAGTTGTTAATAATCGCACAATATCGCGAATCGACTGAAGTTAGGAATGTAAATCACATAACACTAGTTTAACGGTCTGATGATTAAGTGTTCGCTGAAATGTCTTCAAGTAAATGTTGAGCTATGAATGAACACTACAAAGTACAATTGATTGATCACTGGGTGGTGATCAATGTCATGCGTCTCAAGTCCTTCTTAATGCTGATAGAATGCTATCGATCAAGTTGAAATGGGGCCACCAGTCTAGGTGGCTCGACACTGCGGGCACTATGTTAAGATAAGATGGTGGTTGAAGGTGGTCAACAGGAAACCCTTGACCCGGGTTTCCTGCTACTTGGCACTCGTCAGCAAGGTGTACCTGTAATCTTGAGGGAACTGATGCTCCCTGACGGATTCGATCCTGTGTCACTGCACTTCATAGTCAGAAACGTTACCACTGAGCTACTCGGGCCGTGACTGATCTCCTGTAGGACTGAGATGTAATCACAATTGATTCATCACTGGGTGCTAATCGATGTCATGCGTGTCAAGTCCTTCTTAGCGCTGATAGAATGCTATCGATCAAGTTGCAATGTGGCCACTAGTCCAGGTGGATCGACACTGCGTGCACTATGTTGAGATAAGTACCCATAAACTAAGATTAGATAGTTAATTAGGAATTCCTGTTTTACAATGATTGTTTAACTAGTTATGATTGTTTTATAACTGATAATTCTAAACAGAAATATATATATATATATATTATTGAATTAATCTATTGTAGTTAACATTTCTCAGCGTTATTTGTAAACAACATAAAAAAGAAAGATAAAAAAGATGAAAATGACAATATAAAACTTCAGGACACTCTATTGAAATGTTATGATGTATTAGTTTGATGGGATTAAATGAAATCCTATTTGGTATGTTGAATTATCAATGTTTATCATTGTTATTAATTACTTTGTTGTTGTTGTTGTTGATGATGAGAATGAGGTTTCGAGAGAGATTTTAGTAATTTTAATAGGTAAATTCATGAGTCTATATAAAGTAGACCATCATTGAAAACCTGAAAGCTTTGAACGGCTATTCTGTCCTTGTATAGGGTGATCCTACATCAAAAATTCAAACCGAGGACCTTTGGTCTTGTACGCGAACATTTAACCTCTATACTACTGAACTGACATCCAATGGTATTATTGTTTAACTTCTATCGATGAATAAATGATAACACAATCAGTGCTTCCAGGTTTTCAGTGGTAGTCTAGCTTTTATATCAACTCATATATACAACTATTAAAATAGTTGAAATTACGAGTTAATTGAAGCTAGACCACCATGGAAAACCTAGAAGCACTAGACGGCCGTTTTGTCCTATTATGGAACTCTTCAATGGTAGTGCGCATCCACGATCTCGCACTCACAACATTCCAAGTTTTCCATGGTGGTCTAGCTCCAACTATGAAAATACTGAAATCTCCACAAAACTACTTGTGAACTATTAAAATGTATTTCTTTTCTTGTTGTTGTTGTTGTTGATTATTCACAATTCTCATTCAATTCATTTCATATAAATCTTATTTCTATAAATTTTTCTGTTTACAAGTTATTTATTTTATTTGGATAATTTCAACAACAAAAAAATCAACCAGTTAACCTAGAAATTCTATTGGTCAAACATAATTTGTTAATTTTTGTTTTGATTGGTGTATATATATGTAAGTATGTGTGTATGTTGGTGTGTATGTATGTATGTATGTATGTATATATGCCTGAGTGTATGAACAATAATAGAAATTTATTAACCAATAAAATTTCAGTAAATAGATTAAATCAATCCTCATTTTATTGAGTAATTTAATCAGATTAATAAATATATAAATAGATATTTTATATGTTCAGTTAAATGACATTCAATCTCTCCTATATTATATATTACATACATACATACAAACAAACATTCATTTATGTGTATCCACTTATATGTGTATGTATGTGTGTAGTTCTATGTTAAAAATTTTCTAATTTTTTTTGAGCAAAAAATATGTATGAGCACTCATTCATTCACTCACTCACAGACATGTAATATGTAATAATAATAATGATAATACTAAGACATTATTTATCCAATCACACACGCACAAATCATAACTATGACAATTTTGATTGGTTAGTAAATAAATTCCAAAATATACGAATGAATATTTATGGAAATATTTTCTATAGGAAAAATTTTTTTGTAACATTTCAACATTTCAACAACAACAACAACAACAACTAGGAGTGAATCTATCTAAAATAAATAAAATGATTTTCTTTTTTTCTTTTTTCTTTTCTTTTTCTTTTTGATTTTCTCCATATTAAATTATTTAAAATAAATAAATAAAAATAATAAATGATCAATATACAATATTATTATTATTAATTTCTTATTATTTAAATAAAAATGTATGGAATAATAATATTAATAATAAATAAAGAAAATGATTAATGATTATAATTTAATGAACAATTTCTATTTATTAAAACGACCATGTAATTTTTTATAATTAATTAATGGCCATTAGGTTTTGGCGAACTATTTATTTAATTATTAAAACTATTTATTATATGAATTTATTTATATCAAAATATTTATTAATATTAAAAACTATTAATGGAAATCAATTAAATAATCAATTAAATGAATTAGATATTTATCAAAATAATCCATATCCATCATTATCACAATTAGAATCATATCGTATTAATAATCGATTAAATACTAATGTAAATCAATCATATAATTTTTATACATCTAATCCATATCAATCATATATGCCAATTGATAGATTTATTAATATATCTTATCCTACATCTAATATACATGAAAATAAATGGAATGCTTATTTCAATCGTGTAAATAATCAATATATCAATCATAGTTCTATTAGTCAAATTAGTAATAGTAATATTTATAGTAATAATCAATCATATGATACCTCTATACCTACTAACTTCCCCAATCTAGTATCTACATCATCAATATCTCCTTTCTCTTCTACATCATCATTATCAAGATCTACAACATCATTAGGTATAGTATATACACCTGAAATATCACATCCTTTTTTAACCGGTGAATCAGAAACAGAACAAATTTTAAAATATATATTGACTAATTATAAATCACATGAAAGACCAAATGAAAATTCACAAGATCCAACTATTGTTAGTGTATTCATTCATATTATAGATATATCATCAAGTAATGTAGTACAAATGGAGTATACAATTAATTGTTATTTACGTCAACAATGGTATGATTCACGTTTATCATGGGATACTAATACTTTATTAAGTAATAATATTAAAGAATTATTATTAAATCAACAAAAAAATCAATTATGGTTACCTGATTTATTTTTTCGTAATGGTAAATCAGGTTTTTTACATGATATGTCACAACCAAATTATTTATTACGTGTTAAATCTAATGGACAAATATTATATAGTCAAAAAATTACTATGACATTATCATGTCAAATGTATTTAAGAAAATTTCCAATGGATAAACAAGAATGTACAGTTAATATTGGTTCATATGGATATACAATTGATCAATTAAAATTTATATGGCATCATGATAAACCGGTTACTATATCAAATAATTTACAATTATTAGAATTTGAAAGTCCACATGGTGCATATACTTTGGTAAGTAAAGAAATAAGTTATTTCCCCCTATTTTTTTTTAATGGCAATATATAAATAATATTTATGCTACTAAAGTTATTGTTATTACTCGGCTATTTCATAAAAAGTATATTTTTGATCTTAAAGAAACCTAATCATCTGTCTCTTCTATGCATTGGTTTGTTCTTGGTCATATATATATATATATATATATATATATGTTTATTTCAAATGAAATCATCAACCGATCAATATCAGACCACTGTTGAAAACCTGGACGCACTAGACGGTCATTCCATCCTAGTATAGGACTCTCCAGCAGTGTGCATCTACGATCGCGCACGCAGGATTCAAAACTAAGACCTTCGATCTTGCATGAGACCGCTTAACCACTGAGCTGACATCTGATTATATTAATGTGTAACTTCAACCACCTCAAGATATTGCCTGCTCATCTTCCATTGTGTTTATTATCAACTAAAACATTTGTATATTAATCACTTTTTTCCTAAGTAACTTATCAGAGGTTATTATACAAAATGAATTTTCTTTTGTATAGACAACATCTATTTTTTGTAAAAATACCTCTGTCAAAGTTTAAAACTAACAATGGGCAGTTATTCAAATCTGTCGACCCATATTATTATCATGTTGAAATGAATAATAAACGAACTAATCCAATTTATATAGGTTTCCGTTTTTGCGTTTGAGATAACTTTCATTTCAACTCAGTATACAGATTATTTATTATTTATTTATTTATAAATATAAACATTGGTACAAGGAAGCACCAGATATATATGCGCCACACAAATCTCATTTGATTTGTGTGAGGGTTATGATACTGCCCGGGTGCCCAGACTGAAGCAGGTGGTTTTCTTGAGGGATCACACCCCGAGCCTTTAACCTAAAGATCTGATCCACAAGGCAGTAGAGCATCGTAAGGAGATGCAGTCTCATGGTAGCCGGTGACCAACAATAGGTTCATACGCCATTCGTCTCTTCAGGATACTGGAGCCCATGTGCACCATTGATTTGGAATGAGGGTTTTCCAACTCTCGTAGGCGGACTCGTCGTATCCACCAACCTGATTAAAGCGCCGGACATTCACTTTTCGTCCTCTCACTTTTGTAAACAACACCCTCGCCATGAGAAGGCAGTGAGTAGGACTTCCATGGCAGAGTCTATATAGGCGTGGCCATATGAGAGCGTTTTTCGAGGGAGAGCGGACTCTCCCCACTCTCGGCCATACCAGGGCATTTGACGGCGTATATAGGTTAACAAGTTATAACTAAGTAAATAATCAAGGTATATTATAAATCACTATTGAATTATATATACCCAACAAAAACATTATTACTCGAAAAGTAAATATCGTAAAATAAATCACATATGATTTATCTCAAGTATTTCCAATTACAGATTTAATGGCTCATGAAAATTTCAAATGGTCACATTTATGGACATTTTAAAACAAAATTTTAAAATTATTTCCATTATTATTATTACTATGTGTACTACTTCGTACTGTATAATTTAATCTTTGAAAAAAATCAATATTCATTCACATTTCCCTCGTCAAAGTTGATTAATTAAGTTGCTTAGAGTAAGTATAACAATTTTTTTCAGTAAGCAACTAGACAGATGACAATATCAAGCATAAATGATAAGTTTCACTCAATTAAATAATTAAAATTGATTTAAATCGTTTGATTTTTTTTTCTGTTTAAATTTTATTTCCTTCCGAAAAATTTTCTTTTTTTTACCTTAAAAAATTAAAAAAACAAACAAAAGAATTAAGTAGTATTTATTGTGTCTGAAATTTTTAACGGAAAAGTGAATGTAAATTTTTGTTAATTGTACCCTTAAGCAAAATTTGTAGACCACAGTCTATACAGATTATATATAACAATATTCTGATGTGACAATGTAAAATGAGATACCAAATTTTGGCAATAAAATTATTTTCTACCATTTTTGTGTAGTTTTCCTCCTCCTCCTCCTCCTCCTCTCTCTCTCTCTAGATACAATTTAGGTGTTGTATTGAAAAAAAAATATTGAAATTTTTTTGAAAATTATTCATTTGCTTTTATTCTTGGTTGTGTTGTATGAATAACATAAAACGGAAAATTTGAAGCCGTTTACACTTCAATTGTTGTTGTTTTTGATGTGTGTGTGTGTGTGTGTCTGAAATGTTGAAATGTTAAGACTTGTAACTCAAATAGGATTACTCTATCAGCGGTTGGGTTGAAATCGTTTGATCATGAAATTTTCACTGTAATTCTGGTATAAAATTAAGATCACAGCGTCTACTTTCAATTTAAGGAAACTGGTTTAGTTTTGATGAGGATGATGACAATGACTTTGTACTAGTCACTACTTCAATATCATAATAGTTTGAAATGTATGAAACAAAGCTAGAAAGAGACATTTTTCTAAATAATTTCTTTTTAAACGTATTTTTAATAAACACTGGGATCAATGACAAACTCAAATTAGAGTAATATCATCTAAACGAAAATGTATCGATTTGTTTGACCTGCAGGATCATATACCTGACTGAATAACATCTTCAAACCCTAATCTTTCACATTAATGCTCATACTCCTACTACTTCTACCACTATGGGATTTGAATCGACAACTAGATCTCTGTGCTAAAGTGGTATGGCAACTCGAACTGGTGTACGTAAGTACGAAGTTCTACGTTGTGACTGACTGACCTGACTAGTTATTATATGCACTAAAAAGTTTGATATGAATTTGTACTTTGTCAAATAAGTTATATAAACCGAAGAGATTTGTTGTTTTTAAATTTATTTCAACTATATTAAGGGTTTTTGTTATATCCCCCGTGAATTACGAATGGTAACTTTTAGGTCTATTTATGGATCAATGTAATATGCCTATTTCCTATTGTACAATTATTACGTAACTGAACTATTCATATTCGTATTTCTCCTATCATTAGCTTTATTTTGACCTTTGACTTATTAAAATACGATTCTTGAGTTATAATCAGTTTATTGATTACTTTGGTTTGTATAAAAACCAAGTGTGTTTGTAAATAATTATTCATATTGCCGAGGCTGTTATTTGTGTTCTGGATTTAACTGGCTGGGCTAGGCATATAGGAAGGACCGAATAGCACTCAAGACTGCTCGTACGATTTCAAGTGTCATTTGCGCCCGATCAATAAATCCACTCCTCTCTAATTGCACATTCATATATATTACGAGTCCATACGTTATAACAGTTTCTAACCTTTAAGAATATTCTTTTTTACTTGTGCTTTAAACATTGCAACATTTTATTGAAGTCCATAGATCTGATTTTTTTCTTTTAGACTGAAAATTATCGAGGAATGAATCAAGTTTTAAAATCGCTGGTAAATTTGTAAATTGACCTGCTTAAAATCGGTCCCTTGGCTAGTGGGATGACTCAAACTATTGAATGATGTAAAGTGTTTGAAGATAGTTGACAAGAAAATCAATTTAATATAGGTTTCATGCTAGTTAGGAATCGTCAGCAAGGAGTATCTGGAATATTGAGGGAATTTATGCTCTACAGTAGGCTGGAACTTATGTTGCCTGGTTTCATTAGGCGACACGAAATCCTTACATCTAACCTTTTTTTAGTGTTATTTCCACAAAATATTACTTTGGAGCAATGCTTACACACTTCAGTTTGGGTATCCAAATAGCATCGCTAGTTCTTAGGTAAGGAATGTCGTTTAGTACTAAATACATGAAATGTTACTTGGTAATTAAGTTGCATCTAAAAAGTGAATACAACAACCTTACAGTGACTAGTAACTGAATAGGTATCGATTTCATAAGTGTCTAATTCATAGTAATAATCTTATTTAATTGATTAAACATTAGATAAATTTATGACTTCAGTTACCGATTAGTGAAAAACCAGTGTAAACATATCATTCCTAAAACAGGTCAATCACATCATCAAAAGCTCAATAGTAATATATCTCACAGGCACAAAATGAATTTCACGAAGAGCATGAATTCCCTCAATTTAAAGCTACATCTTACTATTGATTACTAATTAGAATGAAGCTTAAGTTCAGTTCATTCAGCTTATTACCATCAAGCTCCTTACATCAAGATAACTTCTTCATATTTATGTGGTTATATAATAAAGATTTCAACCAACTGACATATTCATTGACAAACTATTAATTTTTTATCATAGTTGAAAGCGTGAGTCAATTGAAGCTAGACCACTATGGAAAACCTGAAAACACTGGACGGCCGTTTCGTCCTATTATGAAACTCCTCAACTCGTCAGCTGGATGTACCTGCATCTCTGAGTTGATGTTCACTCTGGGACTCGAACCCAGTACCCTCGCTTCAAACGCCATCGCGTTACCCGCTCGGACACTGAGTCCTGATATCCACTTGCTTGTGCGATGGGGTGACGAGTCCCAAATAGAACGAAACGCGCGTCCTGGATTCCACTGCTAGCCACTATCCATCTCTGCTTATCATGCTTGTGAATTAAGGCTATATCAATGCAATACGCACAGTATGCACATATGCCAATTAGAGACTGATCAGTTGCAGTTCTAAACATCAGTGAGAAGATTCAAGCAAGCAATACTAAATGAATGTAAAGAATTATATTTGATTGTTGGTAATGTTTAAAACTTTAAATGATCAATGCCTATTACCATAATAGATACCCTGAACTCTGATCCCGCTGTTTTTTACGCATTTACAATTTGGATGTATATATGTTGCATAGTGATTAACAATGAAATTCAGGATGTGTATTCTGTTTTTTTTTAAATTTAAGTTTCGTCAATGGAATTCATCTATATTCTGGTTGATGTAGTATGTTTCACTGATCGGTACTGATTTCTTAATTCAGTCAGAAAATGAACACTTACATTATGTTCTGGTGAGATAACAGATCTCACGTAGATAGAAATAATGTTCTTTTCAAACTTCTTTGGTATTCGACTAAATTAATCTTAATACAAAAGATAATACAACTGTTAGAGGG